GTTTGTGGGACCATCACTGAAGTCCTACTCCCATCACCATTCTTTTATTAGCTTTAGTGAGAATAGTGGGTTTTATTTACTAAAGCTGGTTCACTCAGAATTTGGTGCACCTCTGCATGGTAGCCAATTAGCTACTAACCTTAGCTTGTTCAATGAAGCTTTAGCAACAAAGGTGTATGTTTTATTAAGCAGAGATAATTTATCTAATTTCAGTTCTCTGAGATTTGTGTAGAGGGGGGGGGCTGCATGTGATCTTGTGAGATAATTGTGTGATTACAGATCACATGAGTTTAAACAGTGAAACCAAAGTTAAAAAGACCATGTAACAACAAAGACATGAAAATAATCAGCACTGACCACTGGTAATTTTTTACGCACATTTTGGCACATTCTTTAAATGTGTGTGTTTGGCTCCTTTTTATTGTGCATCTTGACATTATTTACAGTATGTGCATTTTGCCACTTTTTAACATGTGTTTTTTAAACATGCATTTTGGCGTGGGTTTTTAATGTGCATTTTGTTGCTTTTCTAAATACACATTTAAGTGCTTTAATGCATATTTTGGCATAGGTTTTTTTTAACATGCATTTTGGTGTGGTTTGTAATGCATATTTTGGCACTTTTCTTAGCATGTATTTTGGCACTTTTTTTAACTGCTTTCCCTTCGGAAGATTTACCTCACTTCCTGACCAGGCCATTTTTTTCTGTTCAGCGCTGTGCTATTTCAACTGGTAATTGCACAGTCATGCAACACTGTACCCAAACAAAATATATGTCCTTTTTTTCCACACAAATAGAGCTTTCTTTTGGTGGGTATATAATCACCACTGAGTTTTTTATTTTTTGTGATATCAATTAAAAAAGGTGGAAAATTAAAAAAAATATATGTATTTTCTACAACAAATATCCAATAAACTCAAAGTCATAACTTTAGGTCAAAATGTATGCTACTACATGTCTTTGGTAAAAAAAATCCCAATACGTGTATATTAATTGGTTTGTGTGAAAGCGTCTACAAGCTATGGTATGTATACTGGAATTTTTCCTTTCTGATTGCCTATCACATCTTGAGATGCTAAAATTCCAGGATAGTACAAACACCCCCCAAATTACCCCTTTTTGGAAAGTAAACACCCCAGGGAATTTGCTGAGAGGCATGTTGAGTCCATGGAAGTTTTTGTTTTTGGCCACAAATTTTTGAAAAAATTACACAAAGTTGTGACTTAAATGATATATTGCTCATGTATGCCATGGCTATGTGTGGAATAACACCCCAAAACACATTCTGCTACTTCTCCCGAGTATGGGAATACCACACGTGAGAGAATTTTTGGCACCCTATGCACATACAGGCCCCCAAAATCATGGCAAAATAATTTTGGCATTTTAGGGCCAACATTAGATTAGAAGCTTATGCCACACATCACCCAATCTTCTAACCGCTTGAAGAACAAGCTTTTTCTGACACTTTTTGTTTACAGGAAAAAACATTTTTTTTTGCTAGAAAATTACTTTGAACCCCCAAACATTGTATATGTTTTAAAGCAATGGCTCTAGAGAATACAATGATGGGTGTTGCAAATTGTTATGTCACACAGTATTTGCGCAGCCATTTTTCAAACACAGATCTTTTTTTTGAATCTTAATGCACAAAAACATAATATATTGGCCAATTGTTTAATAAGGTATAAAAGATGATGTTATGCCAAATAAATAGATACAAAACATGTCATGATTTACAATTGCATATGCCTGTGCAATGTCAATAAACTACTTAAATTTATAATATCGACAGGGGACGTTTTAAAAGCCTTTACAGGTCACCACTTCATATTTACACAGCAGGTCTAATGCTAGAATTACTGCCCTTGAACTAACGTTCGTGGTGATACCTCACATGCATCTCACATGCACGGGAAGGGGGGCATGTCGAGGGTAATTTTTTTTTTTTAATTTTTTAATTTTTTTTTATTTTTACACTGTCCCTTTCTTTTTTTGTTTTTTTGTTATCACTTTTATTGTTATCACAGGGAATGTAAATATCCCCTGTGATAGCAAACAGCAATGACAGGTACTCTTTTCTGAGAAATCTGGGGTCTATTAGACTCTAGATCTCTCCTCTGCCCTTAAAGCATTGGTGTGATCAGATGCTTTCCCAAATTAAAAATGTTGCTGGTAATATCCAGCAAAACGGAAATATGAATTGCTCATAGCTTTCAGTTTCTTAGACCATAGAGCTGATCAGAGCCATTCTGGTCTCCGATCAGCTCTATGTTCAGCCGGAAGAACTGCCAGCAGCATTCTCGGATTTTCTGATTCCCGCTGAGCAAGTGGATGACAGGTCTGTGTCTGCTCCACTGTTGCAGAGCGGGCACAGAGTAGCTTGCTGTCCTCAATGGGCGGTCGGATGGAAACGGACCACCTGTCTGTTTCCTCCTGACCCGATCTGATGGACAGAAGGGGAATTGGATCACCATCCATCTCTTTTTTGCGGGTCGGATCGGATTGGATGTTGGGCGGGCGTAAACGGACTCATGTCCATTGACACCCACTGCTCCATAGAGGAGAATGGAGGTTCTGATCAGGTCTGCCTGAAAAAAGGGCAGGCGGTCCCGATCGGAATGTCCATGTGAAAAGGGCCTTACAGAGATGGCCAATGAGACCTTCAGATCTCACCTTCATAACAAAATGTTCTCCGCTCCTCACCTCAGCTTCATAAACTGGCACACCTGAGAGATCAGCTGTGATCATCAGGATCTCGGTTTTTCTCATAAACGGGCACCTACACCTGTAAGTCGATTGCGTTCCATGAAAAAGTGCACAAAATTCTGAGTGAACCAGCTTTAGCAAATAAACTCCAGTATCTGTTTTATGTCAGCTGGGTAGTAATATCATGCTGCTTTCTTCACACAACTTAAAAAGATGCTTTAGTTAATACAGCTCCCGCCGTACCTTTGTCCCTTTTAACTGCCGACATCAGTGCTGCAGGTATGATAGACACCAACACTTGGACATTCACAAAATACACACCTGCAACATCATCACAGGCTGCACTTTGTGAATTGTCAAGTATAGACAAGGGAGGGACCACAACACCAGTGCTGGTGTCTTTCATACCTACAATGCTGTTGTGGACAAGGGGACATAAGTACAGTAGAAGCTACATTATCCAGAGCACCCAAAGACATTTTTAAGCTGTGTAAAGAAAGCCAGCATGTTATTACTACATTGCTGGCATATACAGGTACTAGTGGGTCCTATCCTCTCTAAATCTAGTAAAAAGGTGGTTCCTGTAGTTGGAATACAAAGTAAACCTGTTGCTTTGTGCAGTATAGGCATAGCATAGATTTTGTTATAGGGTTCTTATATATGGGTACCTGAGCCTGCACGAAGTAAATCTTGGAGCCCCCCTCATACCACCACCACCACCACTCAGGCCTATAGACATGAATGACTGTGTGCCAGGTTTACAGGCATACTCAAGCAAACACATAGCATACGGGCAAATGTAAATAAATTTGTAGTGTGGTGGTAAATTAACTGCCTTGGGTGTCAAATGTGCTAGTTAGCCTACATTATGTATTCTTTTATTTAAAACTTTCTTCGATCTGTTGATCACCCTACTAAGCTTTAGGTAGAAACTTTTTTAGCAGGGGTTCCCCAAGAACTTTAATATGTTTCAAGGGTTCCAAAAAAGTAGAAAGACTGATGTAAAATCTGGTTAAATCTTGATGGTCAGGGGACAATAAAATAATTGTCACATATGACTCAATTACTTGGTGATCCTACATGAATTAAAGCAATCCAGATAATATTTGCTCAATTTGGCTTCTTAGCCACCTCAATACCACAGGACGTATATATACGGCCTTTGTAGTGAGGTGGTTATACTGGGATAGTGGTTGAGGCTACAACCATGATCCCAGGATCGTTTTTTCAGCGGGCAATTAATTCTTGTAAAAGTGATCTGAGTGGCTATATTGCCACTGAATCACTTTTACAGGCAGCGAAAGAGGGTTTCTTCCTCCTGCCCCCGCTGTCTTTACCAGGTTCTCCAGTCCCATCATAGGACCAATCTGACCAGTGGCATCTGCTGCACTGAACAGAGAGAGATTTGGAGATCAGAAACTGAAAGCGGCAAGGATTTTGTCACTTTCAGTTTGTGTATTTACAAGCCATTACCAGCTTTGGAGGCCAGAGGAGAATTCTAGGGTCTAATAGACCCCGGATCTCTCAATAAAGAGGACCTGTCATGGCCCATGCTATCACAAGGGATGTTGTTTATACCTTGTGATAGCAATAAAGTTGCTAAAAAAATTAAAGGGACAGTTTTAAAAAATAAATATATATAAAATAAATAAATAAAATACAAGTTTAAATAATTTAATGCACCCCCTTCTCCCCGTGCAAAGGCGAACACGCGTGTAGGTCCTGCATGCATATGTAAACGGCGATCACACCACACATTTGAGGTAGCAATGTGAAAGTCAGAGCAAGAGCAATAATACTAGGGCCAGACCTCCTGTGTAACTCTAAACTGGTAACCTGTAAAGGCTTTTAAACATTGCCTATGGATAATTTCATGTACCGTAGTTTGTAGCCGTTCCACAGGCATATGCAATTTTAGAGGGACATGTTTGGTATCTATCTACTCCAAATAACATTATCTTTTATACTTTACCAAAAAATTGGGCTATATATTGTATTTGTGTTCACTAAAATTCATTAATGTGTATTTTTTACAAAGCATTTGTGTTTGAAAAACAGTTGTGCAAAAATCGTGTAACAAGAAAATTGCAATACTTACCATCTTATTCTCCAGGGCCTCTGCTTAAAAATACAGAATGCTTGGGGGTTCTAATTAATTTTCTACCAAAAACATGCTGAATTTTACATGTATGTGAACAATGTCAGAATTGGCATGAGTGTCAAGAGGTTAAATGCAGGCACCCAACATAATGTTTATAGGCAGCTTTTAAGAAATAAAAAGCCTTATTACCTTGATCACCTTCTCCGAGCTGTTCTGCAATCTTTGAATAATCAGAGCCTCCCACAACTCCAATCTTTACTCTTTGCCGGAGCTTCTGTAAAAATATATCCACCTCAGGGTCCACTTTCTGTGAGAAGAATAAAAGGCCCAAAAGTTCTTTTTATTTGCATTACATTGTTTTCATGTGTCTGTGCATAACATGGCTTTTGATTGTTCCAACAGCTGTTATGGTAAAGAGAGTGCAAAAACAAATGTTTTACTGTGGCAGGATCAATGAAGCTAGTAAGTGACACTATTCCTATTGGTAAATGTCAACTCCACCCAAAAGTGACATATCAGATTTGCATGATTGCTGTTAAGCTGTATGCTCACTATGCTTGGGAACTCCATGGTACTATAAAGAACAAGGCAGGGGTGCTCAACCCGTTGAAGAACTAGGGCCACTTAAGTGATCTGGTACTTAAGTGATTTGGTAACCGGTCACAGGCCACAATGAAATGAAATGGTTCAGAATTACATTTTCTTTTATTTTGAATAGCACAATGAACATTTTCCTCATGCAGCCACAGAATGCCGATGGGAGGGAGAGGAGGAGAAGCCGTATTTCAGCAGTTGCAGGAGGAAAATAGAGAGTATCTGTTCCTGTATACAGTGCATCCAGAAAGTATTCACAGCGCTTAACTTTTGCCACATTTTGTTATGTTACAGCCTTATTCCAAAATGGATTAAATTCATTTTTTTCCTCAACATTCTACAAACAATATATATAAGTAAAATTCAGCGCTATTAATATATCATAAATGGTTGTGGTAGTATTAATAAATGGATAATAATAAGACAACAGTCCAGTAAAAGGTGCTCGTTGATTCCCGGTGCAAATAGTAGAAATGCGCACTAACCAGAAGCATATAGATAATACGCATGTGAATAAATATCCTGAAGATTCCCCTCTCCTTTCTGGTCTGATCACGGGAAAAACTGGAAAGAATGAAGATCAAGCGCCCTCGTGTGGTGAAGATGTGGTCCAGCAGGTCAGAGAAATCTTTGCCAAGATGTAGTTCCCCCTCTCAGGAGCTGACACAGGAATCACTCAGGGCTGTAAAGGTTGAAGAAGCTCCTGCTGTGTGCAGTAGTTTTGCACAGAGCACCCTGGATCCTCCTCTTCTCAGGTCCCCCACCTGCGCTCCTGGCCCCTCCCAAGCAGCTGTGGGGGCACCCGACAGTTTTTCCAGTTTTTCCCGTGATCAGACCAGAAAGGAGAGGGGAATCTTCAGGATATTTATTCACATGCGTATTATCTATACGCTTCTGGTTAGTGCTCATTTCTACTATTTGCATCGGGAATCAACGAGCACCTTTTACTGGACTGTTGTCTTATTATTATCCATTTATTATTACTACCACAACCATTTATGATATATTAATAGCGCTGCATTTTACTTATATATATATTTCTTGGGACTTTAATGCATTTTCCTTGAATGTTCAGCTGCTAATTATTGAGAGCGCTCACTGCAGTTTTACATTTTTCTTTATCTATTCTACAAACAATACCCCATAATGATAATGTGAAAGAAGTTCGTTTTGAAATCTTTGCAATTTATTCAAATTAAAAAATGAAAAAAAAAACCACATGTACATAAGTATTCACAGCCTTTGCTGAATACTTTGTTGAAGCACCTTTAGCACCAATTACAGCCTCAAGTCGTTTTGAGTATGATGCTACAAGCTTGGCACACCTATTTCTGGGCAATTTCTCCCATTCTTCTTTGCAGTACCTCTCAAGCTCCATCAGGTTGGATAGGGAGCATTTGTGCACAGCCATTTTCAGATGTCTCCAGAGATGTTTAATTGGGTTCAAGTCTGAGCTCTAGCTGGGCCACTCCAGGACATTTACAGAAATGGCCCGTATCCACTTCTTTGTTATGTTGGCAGTGTGCTTAGGGTTGTTGTCCTGTTGAAAGATGAACCGTCGCCCCAGTCTAAGGTCCAGAGTGCGCTGGAACAGGTTTTCATCAAGGATGTCTCTGCACAGCGTTGCATTCATCTTTCCTTCGATCCTGACTAGTCTCCCAGTTCCTGCCACTGAAAAACATCCCCACAGCATGATCCTGCCACCACTACGCTTCACTCTAGGGATGGTATTGGCCAGGTGGTGAGCGGTGCCTGGTTTCCTCCAGACATGACGCTTGGCAGTTAGGCCAAAGAATTCAATCTTTGTTTCATCGGACCAGAGAGTTTTGTTTCTCATGGTCTGATAGTCCCTCAGGTGCCTTTTGGCAAACTCCAGGTGGGCTGCCATTTGCCTTTTTACTGAGGAGTGGCTTTCGCCTGGTCACTCTTCCATACAGGCCGGATTGGTGGAGCGCTGCAAAGATAGTTCTTCTGCTGGAAGGTTCTCCTCTCTCCACAGAGAAATGCTGGAGCTCTTTCAGAGTGACCATCAGGTGCTTGGTTACCTCCCTGGCTAAGGCCCTTCCCCCTCGATCGCTCATTTTGGCCAGGCAGCCCGCTCTAGGAAGATTCCTGGTGGTTCCAAACTTCTTCCATTTACGGATGATGGATGCCACTGTACTCATTGGGACCTTCAATGCTGCAGAAATTTTTCTGTATCCTTTCCCAGATCTGTGCCTTGATACAATCCTGTCTCGGAGGTCTACGGACAATTCCTTGGACTTCATGGCTTGGTTTGTGCACTGACATGCACTGTTAACTGTGGGACCTTATATAGACAGGTTTATGCTTTTCCTAATCATGTCCAATCAACTGAATTTCCCACAAGTGGACTCCAATCAAGTTGTGGAAACATCTCAAGGATGATCAGTGGGAACAGGATGCACCAGAGCTCAATTTTGAGTGTCATGGCAAAGGCTGTGAATACTTGTGTACTTGTACATGTTTTTTTTTTAATTTTTAATAAATTGCAAAGATTTCAAAATGAATTTCTTTCATGTTGTCATTATGGGGTATTGTTTGTAGAATGTTGAGGAAAAAAAATGAATCTAATCCAGTGTGGTATAAGGCTGTAACATAACAAAATGTGGGAAAAGTTAAGTGCCGTGAATACTTTCTGGATGCACTGTATACTGCCCCTGCCTCCCCTCCTGTCCAAATGTAATACAAAATGTGACTCCTGACACTACACCAGTGTTTGGGGGGTGTGTGTGGTAAAAACACGTCTCAACTATGGGATTTTTAACCCCCCCCACCAGACTGCTAATATAATGAGCCTTTACAGTCCTGAGCTCCTATAAGGCTATTTTCACACTGATGAGCTGCAGTTTACCCGCACGGCAGGTGCAGCGCAATGCACTTGTGCCTTTCCTGCGGGTTAGTTGTGCTTTGCCATAGATTTTTATTATATGTTGCAGGTGTGGTTTACTTTCTGAAAGCTCACCAAAACTCCTGCATTCAGAATCTAACCTGTAGGATATAATAGAAGTCTATGGTTCAGTGCAGCTAACTTGCAGGAAGGCCGCAGGTGTGCTGTGTGAAAGCAGCCTAAGAACCCTTTTTTAAAAGTGCTAATATGCCCATTGCAAAACTATGTGATGTTTAATAAACTGACCCTTTTCTGTTCCAGCTTCTGCTGGCATTGATAAACTCCTAGAAAGGTCACAGGTGTAGTTCACTTGGTATCTCTCTGCCTTGTACAGGAGTCAGCGCTACAGAGGTAGCATCAGCTTATGCGGTGCTTGCTTCTTATGCTGCCGGCGCCAGCTCCATGCACTCTGATGCTCTGGGAAGGCGGGTCGGGGAAAGCTCACCAAGTCATTCTCCAATTATCCAAGAGAAAAAAAACTTGTATGCTTTAACTCACCAGAGAAGAGACACCATTTACAAAATCACAAGACCAAACAACACAAGCCAGACACTACACTTGTGAGAGACCAGTGTAGTAGAGGTGTGTTATTTTGCGCTTGTGTTTTTGTGAATGATGGTGTTCCTCTGCAGTCATTGTCATTCATAAGAAAACACAGGTGCCAGCTTGATAGTCTCTCACCTTTGAAAAAGCAGTCAAACTAGTGATTTATGTACACATAAGGGAGCAAAGGAGGTGCATGGTTGCAAAAATAGGAGATCTAGCAACCTGCAGAGGGGTAGAGGGTCTGTGTGGGCTCTGTGTGCAATCATGCTCCCTCTCCTCTGAGATGTCACTCAGAACTGCCGTCTCCTTCATCCAGTGTTGTTGGATAGCAGTGGAGGGAGGAGGGGTCAGCTATCCAGCAAAGCGCTCAGGAACCACAGCACAGATTTAAATAGGGACAAGAGCTATGTGCACTGGGGGATTATATAATTGTGGAAATACTTCTTCTTTAACTACATAATACTACCTTCTTACATGAAGTTAAACCTGTAACTCAGAGTAAAATGCTGCAAATGTCAATGTTTCATTGAAATCATATCTCTATGAAAGGGTTGCACTTTTGGCACATAATATGGATAATAGACTCCAGAGATAGAATTGTATATATTGTGTAAACATCTGTTCAAGCTGTGTAACACCAGGTTGTATATTTTACTTTATATCATCCCCTACTACAGCTACATAACTAACCTTGTTTCAAAATACCAACAAAACGTTCTCTTCATTTCTCCCAAGACCTCCTGCTCTCTAGCTCCCTTGCCACTTCCTCCCACACTTGCCTTCAGGACTTTTCCAGAACCACTCCCATCTTTTGGAACTCTCTACCCCAATCTCTATTCAGGAGTGTATTTAGAATTTGTGCTACCTAGGCATTGGCATGTCCACTTATAGCCTCCAGTAGATTCACATGTGACAGGGTGATGAACTCAGGAGAGCAAATGCACAGGTTGCCAATTGTTTCTGAATCTTGTGGGTCAGTCCCTGAGACTTCCTTCTCTTGGGGGCTGTCCTGCATGTCCCTCAGCACCAGTGCAGAGTGGCAGCAGGGTGCCAGGTGCTGGATCAATTTCTGTGTACAACACAAATTTGTATTGTAATTTAATTTTCTTATTATCTTTTACCCAGTTTTATCCCTCACCTTTTTTTATAGGTGCCCATAGCCATTGCATTCCAACATTCTGAGCCAGCTGTTTTCAGTACGATAGAGCATTGTTAGCTTTGCTGCGTTGCTTACAAAGTTGCTTACAAAGTAGTCATGG